AACGCTGCTGTGTTTCGTATGGTGAGTGTAGAGGCCGGAGAGCCTTTTTACTGGAAATGAGGCATTCCATCTTAGTCCTCACGGGTGACAACGCATCTGCATTTTGATTCGTAATCGAAGATAGATGTAGATGTCTATGGGCCGCAGCAACTACTTACCATCAGGTGGACTGTGTGTTCGTTTGTCACCCTATCCTATAAAAAAATTGTGTATATTTAAAACACTCGTTTTTTTTTCAAGGGAAACAAAATCCTATTTTAAACTCAGTTGTGAAAACTTTTTAAACACCTTTTCTCCTACGTACTGTAAGCCATTTTTCTCTTGATTCTATTTGTTAATTTGATATAAGTTTGCTATATTTCTAAATTCCTCGGACAAATACGTTCTTTTACTGTTTTTCCTGCAGTAGTGTGAGGGTAAAATGCTGGTAATTGCTGCATATATTTTCGATGACTATGTCTGGGGTTTTGTTACTGGGCACATGTTGGCCTCTATATGTTTACTCGCAGAACCATGAAGAGAGTGTGCAACTGTATTGTATTATGTTTTTGCTTAATATCTAGTGTGCAAACAAAAATTGTTGCCACACTTGCCGTTGGCCTTCGCCTTCGTTAATAAAGTAAACTGTTACACTGTTTTCGATCAATTTGTATCCAGCGGTGGCATCAAAAATATACGTCCTTTCACTAAAGCTCTGTCAAGCCAACTAACTTAGTAACTTAACCGCCTACATGGGCGCGTTCATTAACAATTTTGTACTATCAAGTTGATACTTATTCAGCAATAATAATGATTTTGTGATTAATAATTTTACTTATGAAATGGTAGTGTATACTTGCACATAAAGGATGAAATACTTTTGTATCTTTTGCAGAAATTTAACAGCAAAGTATTGTTACCGTAAACCCGAAAACTGCTCTATAAGAGTCATGCCAAATTACTGAAACGCCATTCACTCGATGAAAATAATATGACATCTTTTTTTTATCCGCCATGCCTCATTCGAATTTACGTAAATCAAAATTACTTAAACCAAGTTATTATTAAATTCGAAGAAGAGCACAACTACTAATACAACATTCTTTTCCTAACAACAGAAACTTAAATTTACTTTGATTGAAATTTGTATATTTTTACAGTACCTAAATAAACATGACCTAAATAACACTCGTGTAAAAAATACCGAGTAAATAAAGAGTCGTTTACGTAATCTAAAAAAAAATAATCCCGCTTTTATGTGGGTTACTGAAGCGCCACTCAATTGCTTCGATTGCAATGCTACCTAAATAGATCGATGCAGAAAAAATCACTGATTCAGAATATGTATATAACTCATTATGCCCAATTTGGCGGTTAAGTAATTTTGCCTTTCCAGTGACGATATAAATACAGAAACGTGATATTTACTACACGAGACGATCTATGTGGTGGTTTTAAATCAGAGTTGAAATAGTGCCAAAATCTCTGACGACATAAATTCCTCAGACTAACATCATATTTATTTATGTTACTTAACTAACAACAAATTATATTTTTTGAAAAATTTAAGGAATATAGGTGAAAAATAAAAACGCCAAAAATATACCTTATAAAATTATTTTCCACTTTAGAATATTATCCTAAATTAAGTACATTATAGTATAATTTTAATTTAAAAATAACAATTATTAAGTATTTGTTATGTATTCTCATTTATAAGTAGGTAATACATAAATAATTGTGCTTAATTACTGTGAATGAAATGCACTAAAATGGACAGGTCAGTACACGATAGCACTGAAGTTTCTATACATCTGTTTTGATGATATGTGTTTTAATACATTAATATATTCTTTCATATATAAACTATACAATACATAGTCTATATAAGGCAAGATGGCCACGTTTATGGCTAACACTATTTAATGTTTAATTTGGTATACATTAAATATTTTACCCTACTTAAAATTATAAAGTTTACTGTGTATATTTTAATATAATATTAGACCGAATCACAATTCAAACCTTAGACGGCAAGACGACGTGATAAGAGATTCGATTCGGTCGATAAATATTCAACAATTTTTATTATTCTTCCACATAATAAATAGTTATCAACATGAAGATTTACAAATATCAACAAAATAAATTATGAATAACAGAAAATTACATTAATATTAGCCTTACGACCTACGTTTCAATGATCCTTAAATCGGTCTAGTGCTCTTAACTTGTACTACAAAGCCGGCCACGTCCGAGATCGTTCCTACCTTCCTAGACAAACCGTTGTGCCACCCACCAGCTGCTCAAGAGTCTCCCACTACTATCAATAAGTTTTAAAACATGTATATGTCACTTAACTGGATATTGGGTTATTAAAACCAAATTATTCAAGTCCGATTGTAACAATAAAAATAAGTCATCGTAATAGTGATTACAACTTTAAAGGTGTTTACATTTAAATTTAGAGTGGTTCGGTGTACCTTTTATAAGTAAGTAATGACGCTACATGGTTTCGGAACGGCCGGCGGAAGTCTAAATTCATTATCATTAAAATTACATGGACTAGTAATTGAATTAAACTAACTAGTAAGTACCCTATACCGCTTTGGAGAACAAATTTAAATTTCTAAGGGCGTATAGTACATAATACGTTTTTATAGCGATAAAAGTAAGTACATTTATTCATAATTATTACATTAATTAATTAGCTTTTTATTGCTCTCCTTCTTAACTTAAGCTATACCAAGTCCTTCCTTAAGACGTATTGAGCAATATGGACATGTTAATACCGACTTGACTGGCTACATTTACACTGCGCAACATGAATGAAAATTTGTCCCGTTTTTCACATTTACTAATCGAACTTCAATAGGGCCTCAAGAAATAAAATATTCTCATTTGTTTTCTTGTAAAATGCTGTATAACAATTAAAAAATATTTTACGTTAAAATAAAATGTTGCTTTAATTATATTTAACGTGTGGCCTAATATGTTGCTTCTGCATACATAACTTACACATATTTTGTTTTTTAATAACGCGTCACTAGGTATGTATGTATATTTAATTTACTACTTTATTCGATGATTCGTGATGCGTATCTAAGTAATATAAAATAATATAAACCGGATCTTATCATCGGACCTTTGAAGTATAGGACCACTGTCACCGTTTATTTCGAAAAAAAAACCACAGTAACGGTTACGTAACCTCTTTGATATTTCTTTTAATACATTCTAAAAATACTTTCTAATCATAAATAAAATATAATAAATAAAATCGTGAAAATTTTTATTGGGGAATATGTAATTTTTTTGTAAGAAAAGTAAGTGTCAAGTTACTTATTTGAGAATATTAAGTAAACGCTGTTTTATTTTGCAACTTATTAAATATTATTTTGATAAATCACATTGATACAAAAGACTCTAGTTCCAATTTATATGAGACAATGTGAAAGTGTTGTCTTTTGATTTAAAAAAATCGACATTGTTTTACTCACCTCGCAAACTTTTATTTCATCATTAAGAAATGCATACGAATTGTAAAACTCCCACTTATGAAGTTGGTTAGAAAACAGTGCGATTGTGTGCTCTGCTGGGAATCATTTAGCGGAAAGCGGCAGGAATCATTCTGCAACTGCATTACAATTTTTTGATAATATTTTGTAACCTCAAAGAAGATATTAATTTTTAAAGATATTTGCTTATTATCGATACTGAAGCATTTATTAAATACAAAGAAACCAAATGCCAAATGACAAAGAAACTGACCACGATTCCCATCACAGTTACCAACCGCACTGCACGTTGTTGTCTAAAAATATGTTATTGGTTTTATTTTTTAAAAATTTTACTTTGATTTATTGTCTCTTGACAGCTGTTTCATCTTCAAATTATTTTTTACTTATTTTTTTTTATTTTTTTATTTAAGGAGAGCCGACATAATATGCTTAGTATATACATATGACGTATAAATACATTTATAACTATAATTATTAGTAAAACTATATAAGATTACAGGAAGGTGAGATATTGAGGCAAGAGCTTTGTTTAACATAGCTAACGCTTACCTATTATATTTTAACTTTAGGTACACTACATCATATTATGTACCTCGTATAATAAGCATATATGTCCACTAACTTTTTGTTTTGTTGATAATCGATTACTTCCATAATCGATTATTAATCATGTAGTTAAAACCTTCAAAACGATATACATATTGGACCAAAAGACTGTCAATTGAAAACACGTTACTTCTTAACTTATAAACTAATATACAGTCTGTTGGTACAAACTTGTGTATTATAATTTTATGGGATCTGGATTAATGAATAACTATCGATTTATATCAACATACTACTACTAACTCTAACCCATCACCGTTAACAGTATCTTAATGTTATTTAAGTACCCAAAGGTTGTTTTCTATGTTTGGTATAAGCTCATAGCTTTGGTCACTTAGATTTTTTTTTGGTTTTAACATGTACGATAGTCCAAAACGTATTTCATCAAACACATTTTCATACGCTAAATTTGGTTTAACTGTGGTAACAATTTTTAACATCATTCTCGACATTGAATAAAACTATTATTTACGGATTTTATCGCGTTTAATTACTTTAATTTATTTTTATTATTATCCCGACGTTTCGGGTGCTTTACAGCACACGAAACGTCGGGATAATAATAAAAATAAATTAAAGTAATTAAACGCGATAAAATCCGTAAATAATAGTTTTATTCAATGTGTAGTGTTCGCGTAAATTTAAGAAATCATTATCATTCTCGACAATTTAGACCGAACCTTCGTCACAATAATCTTAATAAATAATTTTCCAATTTTATACGCAAGTTAAAATTATTTACAGTTGTCATTATATTTCTTAAAGAAAGCTCAAGTCCTTTTCTAGATAGTAGCTACATTAGTGAGTTAAAAATTAGGTTATTGGAACTATGTACCGATTCGATTGTTCTACCCTTTATTTGTAATGTAGCCACGGAGCTTGTTGTATATAATTTCATTGCATTCGCGCCTCTTGCAGCTGAGGTGGGTATGGAAGATGAGGCAGCAGTGGTGCTTGAACCCCTCCACCTGGCAACGCGTAGTAAGGTGATACATATCCAGCGCCGCTAGCTGCTGCCGCCGCAGCTGCTGGAAACGATTAAACATCATTTTTATAAACAACCTTTCATATGTCATATTAAAAATATAATAAGTGTTAGATGTCATGTGACGAGGTAAGAGGATCTACTTTCAAGCGTCTTTCCGTTTGATTACAATCTGATATAATAGTTTAAAATAGGGGTAGCACATCCATTTTGTTACCCGAGTTGTTGTCCATCAAGACGTCTTATAAAATCTTGTAGTATTTATTACACGACTAAAGAATACTAAAGACTAAAGAATATTTATAGTATTCTTTAGTCTTGTAGTGGTGGCGTAAGAAAATCCACTACTTTATATAATTCCGTACATGTAGTAAGAGCGCATCAGAGGGAAATGAAATAGAAGATGCGCAGAAGTATCTTTCGCGTAACAACTTAAAATAAAAAATAAAACCAAATGGCAAACTCGTCTATCAAACGTGGCAACTATGGCAAATACCTTCTTATAATGGAGAAAGGGCGACCTGCAAACAACCTCAAACAAAGAAAAGCACAGACGCTTTATTATCTCATACGTCGTAGCCTGTATTTTTATTAACTCTAACCCCCCTAATCGAAAAAACACGCATTGCTGCTTGGTAGCTTAGATAGGGAAAAGGTATCTTACCGCCTTTTAATTTCACAAATAACCCCAAATTTTAGAAAGACATGTTCCCAGCAGTGAATATTATAAGCTTACAAGGTAATGACGATGGCGACAAGTGTGTACAGAGTCAATGAAATTGCCTGATAATAAGCTTATAGTACGCGGCAAATAATTTTATAAAAACTAGTGGTCGCCGAGTGGTCGAAATTCAACAGTAATACAATTTTTAAGTTTCTTTATTAAGCAAACTGTATCGCACTTTCAACGGCCAGTACATATAATATGTATTATAGGTATATGCTTTTTTATTATTTGGCGATAATCTCTACTCTATGAAACTGTTTGACCACAGGCTATTATGCGTTTTACATTGGTAGTACGAATACGTAGTACTATTATTTATTCTGTGGTACGAACGTAAACAAATTGTATGTTATGTTACACAAAAACAAAAATATTTCGTTAAAATAGTGATGTACATTCTATAAATACTAGGAACAGACACAAGTTTGATAAGCCAGTTACTCGACTAACAGTCAGTAATTCCTTCATGAGGTAATTTACGAGTATATACGCTTTTACTGCAAAGTCCTAGAAAATATGCAGACCTTATCTATTAAAAGATTTAAAATATTTATTAAGCAAAAATTGTTTAGTAAAGGGTTTTTATATTACTAAAGAGTACATGATTGATTATAATTTAGGTATAACCCCTGGGAATGAAGTGATCGCTACAATGATGTTATTTCTAAATGTTTTCATTAGATTTGTATAAATATTATACCTATTGTAAGTAATGCTTTAAAAAAAGTGCCGCCGGTTTGATGCGACAACGTTTTGTAATTAGTTTAATATAGTCAATCTTACAAAGAATACTGGATTTGCATTTTGGTATTCCTTTTCCTGACTTCGCTTTTGACTTTACGCGCTCCGCCTATTTTTTTCTGCTTTGGTCTGAGACCGAGGGATAGAGACATTATGCCGGTAATAGAGGTTTAGCAGATAAATATAAACAAAATGTTACTTTGCGTTTCACCTTTCTATTACCTACTTTTTATGAGAAAGCTCATACCTGCGGCGGTAGCATATGGATCAAATCCAGCAGCAGCATACTGTTGCTGATAGGCTGCGGCTCCTTGTGCAGCGGCCGCTTGATATTCATACAAATGATTGGCCGCTGCAACAGCTGCAGCATGTTGGAGCTGTGGCAGCTGGACCAGACCTCCAGCTCCAGTGCCAACTCCTGCCCCAACCCCTCCTACAGCGTACCCTGGCGCTCCATACATGTAGCCAGGGGACAACCTGCCAATTCAATGAATCAGTTAAAACCAATTGCATATACTAGCATATTTAAAGCCAACAACTCCCGTGACGACCCTTCACACGATTCGACTATTTAAAAAACAAAACTACAAAGTGTGAAAGGCCATCATTGAAAAATTAAACACTATCAATCTGTCATCACACTCTACCTAACCCCATTTTAGCCTTGTCAGGCACGAGCAACTCGTCTGGTTATGTTAGTACTTAGTAGACATCGATAAACTTTACGTATTATGTGAGTATGCGACTAGTCGTGGTCTGTATTTTGTCGCCGCAGATGAACCGCCACCGTGCGTCACTGCCAGCAAAATTTAAAAAAAGAACCCTGATAAAAATGTCGGTCGGGCGGCAACATTCGCGCCGCGGCGACCAAAATATCCGAATCTAGTTTTTATTTTTTTATTTATCATGATGCGAGGTTTCATTCGAAGACCGTCGAGGTAACTTAATTAGCACAATTAAAAAGTAAAATGTAAATAGAAAATTTTGTATTGATAACATTTACTATATATTAAAAAACCTACAAAATACGCAACAAACGCTTGCTGTTACAATAATTAAATAAGTTATAAATTATTATATATTACATAAATTATGAAAAAAACCTAATCGATGTCTTAAACACAAAGTTAGCGGAATAAACTGAACGTTGCTAAAATATAATAACTATTTAATTTTTGTACGTTTTCATTAAACATTACTGAATTTTTATTGAAGTATATTAAAAGATTTCTTTAAAAGAAAAAAGGAAAATATCTTGAAAAGACATGTTTCAGAGATGTAGGTCAAAATATAAAAATAAATAGATTTCATGACCTAGCTTTCGTACGCGTGCAATTCATTTGAAATTTGTAAATACTTCGTACAAGATTAAATTTTATTTCGCTTTGGATAAATTAAACTCTCTTTGGCATATTATCAAATTTAAATTAAACAATCGTCGTAAAGCCGTCGACATCGCTGAATTCGCATCACAGGCAAACGCCAGGCGGTCAAGTTTGTTAAAGAAGTGCACTCAAGAACTCACTGCATCAGCTTTTTCGAAGAGCACTCGGCCTGCGACCACGGTGTAACTCTAAGCAATTTCCGGAGCGTCTGTCTTTTTTAAATACATAGCTATCGAAAGAGACAGATTATTTGACATTCGAGATTACTTTCGATATATTAGCTTGGTACAGGCTCTGGAGCTCAAAGCGCATGCGTGGAATACGCCTGCCTTCAAGCTCCGCCCGCCTACTACGCCCACCTGTGGTCTGCTAATTCTATTAGCATGTGCAATACCTACATCATGATACCATCAAAAATTGGTATGTAACTAAGCCTGGGACGTTTCGTCAAACATAGTCTTGTCTAGTACAACAAAAAGGTGTATCAAAGTTAAAAGGAAGATTTGAAGATATATCATTCAAAACACGCGTAAAGAGCATTAAAAAAAACTGGCGAAACATCACACAAGCTGCCATATCTACATAGGTACAGATAAATATTAACTAAAATTTATTTCAAATCACATCTATCATTATTCAATACTGTTAGATGTCTAAAGATTTAATTTTAGTTTTAATAAATACTCACAATATCAGTTACTTACATGCACTTAATACGCGGATAATATCTCGGGAAAACGTTGGCAACACCTACTTAAAAACGCAATGGCCAACCAACACATACTACACCTACGGTTTTATTACTGTGATTAAAACTGAAGAATGATTAATCGAATGAAGCTTTCACATGATTGTATTTCATTAGACTAGAATTAAGTTGAATAAATAGTAATTGTATTGGCTCGGCGGGCGTAACTGTGGCATTGGGCTGAACATCGATCCGCGGTTGATATAATTTGTCAGCGAAGTGAAAGGAAAATTCCACCTATTTGTTGTACGGCAAATGATAGAATCTGAGAGTAAGGTGACTATTATTCAATCGAAACAACAGTAAAAGCTAATCCTCATTCTATAATTTGGGTCACTGATTAACGCAGCGTAACGAAACACCCCACGTAACCTGTGACGCGCTCACGGAAACTACCTTATTCCAAAAATAATTTTGATTTAGCATTTCTTAAAAATAATAAGACTAAATAAAATTATTTAAACAATGCTTATTTTAAATAATTTAATATCAGAAACATTGAAAGCGAGTTTGAATGTTGGCGCGTCACAAGCTGCTAAGGAAATTTGGTTACACACTAAAAATTTAGTAAGTGTATTAAACGAAATCCACCACCAACAAAAATCATTTCAAATCAACAAAATCTTACACGATCACGGCATAAAAAACATAAATAAAAGGTAAGAAAACATTGAGTGTCGATGCGAACCGTGTGACGGCGATGGGCGGCGCCCGCGAGTGACCTGCATGTCAGCGCCGGCGCCGCCCATGCTTCATTATAGCTTTATAAAACGTAAACATTAAAAACCCAATCGACTAATTCACACCCAAAACGAAAAAAATCCACTCTCACGCTCACGCTTGCCATAGATACCTATGTGAAAATGTTTGATAATATAGATTAGGTGAAGTCCGCCGGCCGCTGCGTCGCTGGCAGTCCGGAGATGCCGCTCGCCTCATCTACCGAGACAAAAGTCAGCTCAACATACTTGTCTTAGACTTACTGACCCTATTCATAGCTTATATTACTTACCAGCGGCTGATCCTTACTTTAGTTAAGACGATAAAGTTACTAATAAACCTAAAATATCATATAAAACTCGTAACTTCGTGTAGAGCTAGCTTAGTGTTAGATTTTCCACTCAATAATGATACTAAAAATATATTGTTATGACATTTGTATATTTGTGACCCTGCTTGCATATAAAACTAACCTAGAAATGGCTGAAACAATAACTCTAAGTCTGATTTTTGTCTCGTGAGATGTGTAAGAGTGGCACGGCGTCGCTTGTGCTGGTAAATCGGAAGTGTTGTACCATTTAACATTGAATAAATTAAGAAAAATTCTGTTGAATATTGTTCTACTCACCCATATGGGGACGGTAAAACAGTGGGATAGCCGGCCCGTACACCCGCAGCCGCCGCCGCTGCCAAGCCAAAACCTGCGACAAATACAACCATATCACATCAGCGCTCGTCCGAAATGAGGTGACAACGGAAATATTAAAGAAATTCCACGAAAAATATCTCTCAGCATCCGCGCATCCATGTCTATTTTCAGTATCACTTAACGGAAGCGACTAGTCTCCAAAAGAAATATCATAGCGTGATTGGACTACTTCCAAATGACAGAAGAATCAACTTAGCGCTGGCAACGTTAGAATGTTAATTTCTTTTTATTGGATTGTTAAGTCGCGCGAGGCACTTCTATTTTGGTCGCTCGCCGCCCGCCCGGGCACTGGCATCCAGGGACATGCCCCTTGACAAGAAGACGACAAACCCTTGCTATAAATGGCATTCAGTCGTCAACACCGATGGTTCGAATATGACTACGTAGACGACGTATCCTTATCATGCAACTATACATTTAGCAAGTATACATTTGTAAATATTGTTGAAAACTATTAAACAATCATACGATGTCGCGTTTTAAGGAAATGTGCAATTTCCACAATAGTTATGTGTTACAAGCACATACAAAATTGATTAACAAGTACTGATCAAAGAGCGTGACCTCTTCTGAATTTAAACGGCCTGGGCCATTATGCATGGTGAAATTCTACCGGTGATTACAACAGATCACATCCGGAATTATTCCGGATGGTGTCGCGCTTCGACTGCCATAGTAAATACATGGAAGATGATCACACATATTATGGTGGTCTCACCACAGCTAAGTCCTTCATCGTGAGTGATAATTACATACCTACGTAGCATACACATTTTTAAGCGATCCTCTACAATTTTTACTTATTGTACTTTTGGTTACTTACTGCACCTAATGGTATTTGCCGATCGAACTCGTATCAAGTTAAGTAATGACAAATGGAAATTAAGTGACTATGTCATTAAGTGCTTTTTTATTACGCTGTGTTTGAATAAATCTAAAATCTATATTTTCACTGGTGCCGGTGCGGTATTTAAAGAATTCCTGTACCCAGCAGTGGGATGAACAGCTTTATACTAAATGCATATAAGAGTATATACGGTAATTATAACAAAAAAAAACAATTTTAAAGTTTTTGTCTGTCTGTCTTTCTCTCTGTCTGTTTGTTCCGGCTATTCTTGAAACGGCTGGACCGATTTTGACGGGACTTTCACTGGCAAATAGCTAATGTTATAAGTAGTAAATTACCATGTGATACATTTTTATACAAGGATACCTTATAACATAAACAATTGTCTTTTGCTATGAAAATATTGTTTATTTCTATATAATACCCATAATTAAGATAATGAGGAAGTCACAACCGCAAACAATCCTCAGAATTAAAAGGGTTTGTCGCGTGCAACAAATGCGCGTGCTATGTCCGATCGATGGCAAGCCGTTTGATGGCCGAGGTCGAACCACTGTCCACCATAAAGCTTATCTGATTCATTAAATTTTTCCTCTTTATAACCATTGTAGTTCGCCCTAAATGCGACGCTCTTTTGTTAGTATGACCCAGTTTATAGAGTCGAAATCAATTGTTGATGTATCAATTGATTTAACGTAAAATATACAAAAAAATGTATTATGGTATTATTGTTAATCCAAAATATGAGTTGATGAATTGACATGAGTTGTGTTACAATACCTAATTTTTTTAAAAATATTTTTGCGTAGTTATAGGATAAGTTCTGGAGTCCGGGTCGTCGAACTGCTAAGCCGACTCAGGGTGCTTAATATCGCTTGTAAGGATTCTACGGAAATACGATTTTAGACGCAGGAGGAATGAGCGAGACAGTATCATATACCTACGTGTTTAACAACTCGTCGGTTATATTTTATAGTTATATTATACGATACTTTATACTATACGAGAAAACTTTAGTACCCCTTTTAAAGCATATTGCTCCCCCGGAGGAGTGAGATTTGGCATAATAATTAAAGTTTATATTATATATGTATGTTACAAGTACATAAAATAAAAAAATAAAACATAAATTGCTTACTTTCATACGGGGTTTATACTGTCAATGTCAATCGTCAAGCACATAATAGGTCTCGTCGCACAGAGTAGAGATTTTCGCCAAAGAATTTTAAAATGTTGCCAACAAAATAATTACTGACAGATTGACTGGATGTGCTGTAAATTGTGTGATTTCTAATGTTTTATTTTGAATAATCTGTGGAGTGTATGTCAAGGCAAAAAAAAACGTTTATTGTATATTTTGTTATTGTATGTATCATTGTATATTGTGTTTTTTTAATATAGATATCTATATATTGAGATTGAGAGTTAAAAGTAAATTACAGGTTACCTATTATAAAAACTTAACAATTTTAAGTAGTTTTCATAATTATGCAATATAACAACGATAACTAACGTTGACGAAGACCATAAAATTCTCCTTTTAACAAAAGGAAGGAATCTTAATTCCGCATATTTACGAGTACGTGCATTGAACAATACTGGCAGATATTTTAGGATTGTCTAGTAAACGTTAATCCGTTAACGAGCTCATGTTATAGTGAAACTGTTTCTAAAATTCGTCGAATATTGGTCATTAACGTATATACAAAAACAGGCCCGCCTTGTTCACAACATTGTAGCATCATGTCGTGCAAGTTTACTGGTGCAAGAATAGATTCCAAGTAGACGTGGCTCGTGGCCCAGTTTTGTATGACCACGGTATAGATCTCATGGTCATGTTAGTTAGGCATGTCCGGCCTTACTTTAGATCTGACCAACAACCGTCAATCTGCCATCTGCTAGGTAGGTATACATCGTTGGCTAAGTTCGGTAACCAGATTCATTAATAACTTCCCGTCCGTCACCGTCACAGTTCCCGTGACATATATTTTTAAAGTCAACGCGTGCGCGGCGCAATGGTTTTTAAAACATTTCAAATAAAATATACTTAATCATATATGGATTTATATTTTTATATTTAAAGGTAAAAGATCATACGATCGAAAGATGTTAAGGAGCTTCTGCTCCTATGTGGTGTGGTATATCATATTTATTCTATTGTGTAAGATAATATATATATATACATATAAGCAAGCATAAGCTATATAGGCTCCTCCTACAGAAGATAAAATGGCAAGAAAATACCTATGAGGTTTTGGCGCGAAGCCAGTGTCGGTGTCGCGAGAGAAGCGGCTGCGACGACGTTCCCAAAACTGCGTATATTTAGACAAAATAAAGAGCACGCCGAAGACAAAACGAGACGCAAGTCTGTTTTATAAATAACCAAATCGTTCGCCAGTCCGACTCGGCCGCGCTCGACCAACCTCTGTTCGCCAGCTGTTGTACATAAATAATAATTAAGATATGAAGAGAGCTATTGCCTTTAGCTTCAAACTTCAATCTAGTCTAGTTATCGTAAAAATATAAAATAATATATACTTAACCACAAGAAAATAATCCAATATGATCACAAAATACTGGTGAAAAATAAACAACGAATAAAGCCGAAACCTTATCATACATACTAAAAGTAAAAAAAAATTATCGCGTAGAATTATTAATGCAGCAAATGTAGGTCCCAAATGGTGATAGATTTAAGCTTTTCTAAAGGTTATTTACAGTTTATACATAATTCACATTGACACTAGGCTGTGATATTGAAAATAATCATTTCATGGCTTCACACGGAAGCAGAGATCACGTTACACTTAAACGTGAGGAGGGGAGACAACCCCCATAATGACGAATATATAGTGCCTACTTCCTGTATTTAAAAAAAAAACGAACTTTATCACCTCTAGTTACTCATAATTGTAAAATCGATGACATGAAGCTTTCAAAGATCATTTGTATTTTCGATTACTTGTATTTTAAATATATTTTTTTCTGATATTTTTTCAAACTGTCCGAGTCACTCAGACGAACTTAGCCTTAATTCTTTTATTACATCTTATTAATATTACTTATAAATTAGTAAAGGGGTATTCTATTGAGGGGCATTTCATGCATAGACCACTTCTCATTAAATGCCTAATCATTTATAAATGAAAAGTTAAGTCGTAAAATGGAATCGGAATTTAAATAACACGATGTCACCTAAATATATCTAGGTACTTCGTAAGATAAAAAATTTTAGTCAAGGCAAAGATTTTAGGCCAAATGTCATATATCCTCACGACGCGGAAGACACTATAATTTAGTTGGATTGCGTTCAACAACTTCGAGGTTATTAATGCAGCGGTATCGTAAATCGATGTACACATCTTTTTTAATGGACAGGGTGTTCGAAAGTTTTTTAGGTCGTATAAAACTTGATTATTCTCTTTAAAAAGAGGAAGATATTTTCAGCAGAAGGCGTGATAATAAATGATTTCATTGTTTACGCCTGTCCCGATGCTTGAAATGATATGATGATGCGTACTATATTCCTTCTGGGTAAATTCGTCCATGTTTACTTCTAACGTTAAAAATACGTTATTTTCTTAAAACATTGGTTCAATGTAAGACAACAACGCAAATATAACCAATGGCCAAACACTGGCCATAAAGAAATGTTACGAGATGCGTTATTAAAAATATTTAACTCAATCGAAAATATGCTTAATCTTTCATGGAATTAGACTTTATTCTGGTTAGGTAAATCACATTTATAATGATAGTACGACGGCGTACATAAATGCAATAATTGCACGTTTCCGTCACTGACAGTAAAATAAAGATGTGGTCTTACAATCAGATGGAATCACGTGGTAGGTACGGTCAGCCGCTGCTTAGTTGACCGTTATGGCTTCGCATCATACATTTATATGTATGCGCAGCGATGTCGATCGATATACCTTCACTGATACTGATATATTAATATCACCGGAAATGATATATTAATATCACCATACACATATGACCCTAATGGGTCTTTACTACGAAACAGCCGTTTTATAAAAATATTCTTAGTATTCATTATTGTTGATGCAGTTTGAACAGAAGTTTGCTGCCTCTATTATAGAAATCCTCATATAACCGATAAAATTTTTTAGGGAATTTCAACGCCTCATGAATTTTTACCTT